AGATACCGTGGCCGGGCATCGAATTTGGGCGCACAGTCTCCATACCTGCGGACAGCGCTTCATACTTGAACATCCCCGCGCGTGCGCGTGCGCATATCCCGCGGAACTGCGCGTCTCATCCGCGCGCAGCGCTCAGGATCTACAGCAAAGCTGTGCCAAGCAATCTGTATCATGTCTCTCTGGATGGAGGGATGGCTGGCTGGATGATGGATGGATGCATGCATGGATAGATACAGAGATAAGATAATAGATACATAGATAGATAGATAGATAGATAGATAGATAGATAGATGGATAGATAGATAGATAGATAGATACGATAGATAGATAGAGATAGATTAATAGATAGATAGATAGATAGATAGATTTTGCGGTATTTTCCTTTCAACCAAGAACTCACCAACTGAGCACTTTTTCCCCTGCTCACTTATAGAATTGCGCTCTTTGTCTCTTCCCAAAATGTTTTTTTGTTTCTGTTTTCTTTTCAGTTGCATGAAATATTTAACTTCAATGTGTCACTTACATGAATTTATATTTTAAGGCACGATTTGGTCGTTGTACGGGTATTAGTCTGCTTAGTATATATAAGTTGTTCAGCGAATTAGTGTGTTCGCGCATAACTAGATAACTCCGCAGCCTAGAGGAAAACTAAATATATTTTCAGAATCAGCACGTCTGGGAGTTAAAAAGTTGAAAATTTATAAAAAAATTTATTCATCAATAGATGGCGTACATATTAACATGATACATCACGTACGTGTGAATCCATTGTATATAACCGTAACAGCCCAGTAGCCGAATGCATAAAGCATCGCACTCCTAAACCATTGATTCTGTCTTCGAATCCCACCTCGGGAAATCCTTTGTTGCTTTACTTTTGGACTGTTTAGTATGTACTTTTGCCGTATTCACCGTTAATTTCCAAATAATTTTTTTTTACTACATTTAAACGTTTAGTAAAAATCCAGAATAAACTATGGTAGATGATAACGATAGCGCAAACTGACGGGAACACTTCAAATCTTCCTTATTCCTCCTCACTTATATGTAACCTATGTAGGTTACATATCAAATATTATTATATTTTCTATATAATTTCATTTTATTATTTATAATTTTTTACTTTTTTACTTTAATGACTTTTATCTTTTGATTTCTTATTATTTTTTACTGTTGGGATGGGATGGGATGGGATGGCATGGCATGCGATGGGATGGGATAGCATGGCATGGCATGGGATGGCATGGGATAGGATGGATTGGATGGGATGGGATGGCGGTGCGGATGCGATGGGAATGGCATGGCATGGCATGGCATGCGATGAGCTGGCATGCGATGGGATGGGATGGGATGCGGTGCGATGGGATGGATGGATGCGGTGCGATGGGATGCATGGCATGGCATGGCATGGCATGGCATGGCATGCGATGAGCTGGCATGCGATGGGATGGGATGGGATGCGGTGCGATGGGATGGGATGGGATGCGGTGCGATGGGATGGGATAGGATGGCATGGAATGGGATGGATGGATAGATGGATGGATGCATGGATGGATAGATAGCTCGATTTTTTTGGGTATTTTCCTTTCAACCAAGCGGTGACCAACTGAGTAACGCCACTGATTTCCCCGGGCAACGCCGGGTATCCCGCTAGTTCATATATAATTTTGTTGAAAGTTAGTATACACCTGTGAATGAACGTATTCAGTAGTAATATGGTAGGCCTATACAAAAATTCCATTCCAATGATTCGTCTGGTTAATTACCTGCGGCAAGTCATCTAAATGTGCGATGAATTATATAGGGTAAGACCCCGGGGTCAGACGTGTGTGACGTCAAATCTTGGAAATATTTTATTTCCCGGTTCCCAGATAATTAAAATGATACAACCTTGTATTCTCCAATTCCGCATTATTCGTGTGGTGAGAAAGACATACTTAACGGAACTGCGCGTGACACTCACATTACAGCAGGAACCCTTTCCTCTCAACTTCGTCGTTGTCAGGTTAGGATCCTGGACGAGTAATCGGAGGATGTCCTGATGCAAGCCGAAGAGAGAATCATGCGAGGCGGGCGGGAATCACTGTCTAACAGTGAGATATAGGTAATATATAAGCGTGTTCGAAAACACCAGTCAGCGTATCTTACGTGGCAGAATTTCTTTAATTAATTTTAATATTTATAAACACGCGCGCACACGCACCCATGCATACACATATTCACACGCACGCACGCACGCGCGCGTTTCCACGCGCACATAAATACACACGCACACGCAAATTGACGCTCGCGCTCACACAAATACATGCGCCCGCTCACACAAATACACGCGCATGCTCACACAAATACACGCGCACGCACTCAAATTCAAGGGGGCGCTCACACAAATAGGCCTACACGGATACTCACACACATGCACGCACACACACACACGCACATACGCACACACGCACGCACGTACGTACACACGCACGTACGTACACACGCACGTACGTAGCACACGCACGTACGTACACACGCACGTACCGTACACACGCACGTACGTACACACGCACGTACGTACACACACCACACGCACGTACGTACACACACACACGTACGTACACACACACACACACACGCACGTACGTACACACACACACACACTTACGTACACACACACATGCACGTACGTACACATACACGAACGTACGTACACGCGCACGTACACACACACACGCACGTACGTACACAGCAACCGCACGTACGTCCACACACAACGCACGTACCGTACACAACACACACGTACGTACACACACACACACACACGCACACGCAGCACGCACGCACGCACATACACACACACACGTACACACAGCAAGCAGCACGTACACACGCACGCACGTACACACGCACGCACGTACACACGCACGCACGTACACACGCACGCACGTACACACGCACGCACGTACACACGCACGCACGTACGTACACACACACACACGTACGTACACACACACGCACGCACGTACACACACACATACGCACGTACGCACACACACACACGCACGTACACACACACGCACGCACGTACGCACACGCACGTACACACACATACGTACGTACACACACACGCACGTACGTACATACACACGCGCGTACGTACACACACAAACACACAGAGGGAGAAACAGTTATACATTGCGGGCAGGCTGTGCGTGTGTGCGCACGTATGGGTTGTTTCATATTTGACACATCACAAATTTATGCACAACTTGTGTTTGAATATCCTGATATCCATTAATATTTATGTGGAGATTGTAGCTTTTACAATGTAATATTTTAATTAGCTCAACAGTAACAACAACAAAACAATTTAAATCATTTTTAATCGATTTTTTTTGCAACTCAAACAAAACTAGATACAGGGCTTTCATCATGAATAACAACTGGCTAACAAGCGTGACCTCAAGCTTATAATATTGCAATAACATTGTATCAGATATTTGGATGACTTTGAAACTTACAAACTACAATTCCATATTACTGTCAAACACAAATCAGATACATAGCATAATAACTTGTATTTTGTAAGATAGGTATGTGAAGATCATCACAATATGAGTTGCAGAATGGTAATAAGTTAGGGTGGCTTATTAATCTGTGTTATTGACTTTTTCCGTGCATTCTACTTCTGTAGACAATTGTGATTTAAGCTTTTAATTTACAACACCTAACACTCGTAACAAATTTGCCATCTACCCCCTAGATTGGCTGGGATAAGGCTTCTCAGCTACCCACACACCATCTTCTCGCCCTTCCAATGCCTTCTTGAACTTGCCATCTATTGTCCAGTCCCTATACGCCTGTCTCATGTGACCATTATCCACAGCTGTGATACGTCCGTTCATGAAACCTGGCCAATCCTCGTACTTCTTGGCCCAGAATAGCATGCCACCAATGCCAAGAACTAGAACCCCAGCGACGCCAGGCCCCATCCTGCCAAGCTTTGCTCCGATGATGCTGCCAGATGTAGCGCCCCCTAGGATGTAGTTCCAGGCATCGTTCTTCTTGCGATAAGTATGGCTGAGGCATGTGACTGCGCTGAACGTTGCCCCAATTGCTGCTGCTGGCAGCATGAAGTGAGCAAACCGGGCCACCGTAGGAACTAAGCCTTTGGGATGAGACCACAGGTACACATCGTAGATGCTCCATGAGAAACCTATGAGAAAAGCATAAACAAAAAATAATGTGTGTGATATAACACAAATGACAAGATGCATCCGCCAGTTTCTATTCATAAATTGAGTGAATTCAGAGACACAACAAGAGCAACACCAACATTTCTAACTCCATCAAACAAATGTATGTAAACCTTATCATGTAACGTGGATGCATAAACATACAGAATCAGGTTAGGAATAGTAGTCTTTCATGGTTTCCAACAACAAATAGCAGTGCAGATATGGCTATAACTGAGAGTACTCAACAAAATAACAAGAGTCGCAGAGCGTCTGGGCTAATCTGAGGTTTGTTGCTACGGTTATAAACGTAACATTTAAGTCGTGCGTAGTGACACCTTTGTTAGGCACATTTTAGGCCATGTCCTCAGAAAATGTCTGATATCTGACCTTTCCCCCACTGCCCTTTGACCTGTGACCTCCAATTTCGCACTGGTGATGAGTTTCCTGCCCATCACACTATACACCGAATATTAAGAGCATAAGTCGAGCCGTTAAGATTTGTGCCGCAATTCCCTATTTCCTCCTATACCTTAAGTTAAGGGGGAAATTTCCCCCTCCGTTTACACACCTTGACCTTTGACCCCCAAATTTGTCATCCTGATTCCTTTTCACAATCCCCACCCCCCGACGTCCCGAATTTCGTGACCGTACGTAGAGCAGTTAGGATTTGTGCCCAACTGTTGACGCACGCACGGACAATCATGCGATTCTACCAGGTTCTGCATCTGACTCTGTCAGATGAGCTAAAAACAGATGAGCTGTATATCTGATTATCGTACAGACATGCAGGGTGCGAAATTAACAATCCTTGACTCGTAGTCATACAGACACTAGATTTTGTAATCAGGTAGTTCGTAAGCAGTTCGTGTAGGTCAAAATTTTGGTAAACATATAATAATGAAGAATATTTTTAAGCAAATTTGTTAATTAGTCATTTAATTCATTTAAAATAAAGTTATAACAACTTGCAGGAAAGAGAAATCATTTAAAGGCATACTAGGCCCATTGATTACCATATATACTCGCGTAATAACCGCAAATTTGGCCTCAGATTTCAACCCTGTATTTGCTCTGCGGTTTATAAGTGCGCCATACCGTGAGGGGAAATATACTAGGCGCAATACTTGGTTACCCGATTCAAATTGAGGTGCGGCTTATAGGCGCCCGCGGTTATTACGCGATCATATACGGTATGCAATGTTGACGAATGCTAGAGTAACTGGCACCTTGTGTAGTTAATAAGTACATAACCTTACATCCAAACACGTATTAGTTTGTCCAATATCACTGCTAGTTATTAAGAAATGTCTAATTGAAATCCGCAGTCCAAAAATCAGTTGTTTACAGTTTCAACCCGCTGCCGGCGAATCGGGTGTCATACAGATTTATAGTGCACCGGACATTTTCGCACGCATGCTCGGCCGTACGCAATGCTATCATCAGTGATTTCGTAAACATGTACGCTCGTGATAAGAAACTTTTTGTCAGGGCTGTCCACATGCGTCCGTGATTAGTACGTGTGTTTTACTCCATTTCCATGTTTAGTCCGTGGCCGTGGTTACACCGCTGACACCTCCATTTGAGCTGGCGTCCATAACATACGGGCCGCACAAATGTTTACGTCATCGCTCGACTCCTGGATGACATTTATGGCACGTAAATGATACGTTGATACATATCAACAACCGCTTGTTTGTAACGTAACCAGCAGTGATATTGGACAAACTAATACGCGTTTGGCTATAAGGTTATGTACTTATCAACTACACAAGGTGCCAGTTACTCTAGCATTCGTCAACATTGCATAATCAATGGGCCTAGTATGCCTTTTAAATTATCAGTATATTTATCCGTGTTAGTCAAAACTGACAGTACTAAAGTAAGTCGCCGCTGACAGTCAGGTAGTCCACTGGAGTGGTTGCTGCTACAATCTACTCATCCGTCAGTAAAATTTGGTAGTTTTGGACTAAAGGACCACCATTATTTTCGAACCCTGGACAAGTTTAGGTTTGACATACACACAAAGATGCAGGTAAAACACACCAGCAAATGTGGCCCACTTTGTTGTGTAGCCCATCTTCTTGAAGCAATCTTGGCCGTCAGGCGTGTCATAATACTTGTACCCGCGATTCATGCCGACTTTTGAAACGAGGTTCAAACCTCAAGACTGCATGCGTGGCTCCTTGCCTACCTGAAATGATTGACGATAAAATTTTGCACGTGGAAACAAATTAGTTCTGAAGTCTATGTTGGACTTCATTAATCTGGCACGCTCGGGGGTCAGGCCAGTGCCAGAATATTAAAACTGCAAAGCAGTAGAACCAGTGAAGGTGAGGTAAACAACACTTAAAACAAGTGCCGCATAGCGACAGCGCTCATCTAACGTCTACTGCGGTGACTCTGTGGTGGAGTGGAGGGATTCTAGCTAAAACCCGTTAGTCCCAAATGTCGTTCACATTACAGCCAAACAGCGTGGAATGCACAGGATGGTATCCAGAACCTTCTCGAAAAGAATGTTTTCGTGATCGTTGATGAAAGTGCCACGAGATCCGTACGTTAAGTGTCTTCAGATTAAAGATGAACCTCCCTCATACACTACGTGTAGGCAACAACTATCTGCCAGAACAGATAGGTAAGGCACTCATCATTTACTACGAGCTCTACAGGCTGCGCAATAGAGAGCGCCACTGTAAGCAATTAAGGCGCAAAAAACTCCCACATACCTACAACACATGCACTGGCAGAAGCCACTGGCAGTGCAGGCCATACGTACATGTAACATACTGACACTACAGAATGCCATATAAATTATACGATTTAAGGAGCATAAATCTTCTCTTACTCAATTAGCTTTGCAAAATTCACTGTGACATTGTAGCCTCATACATCCAGGCATTTATAGATTCTACTAGCAAAGCCGGCAGTCAAATTCTTTCTAACAGACAGTCAACAAATCCATGTTTAACCCTCCCTTTGAGGGTCAAAAGTTATCTGACACTTACTCTTCGCATGTCAGCAGAAAGTAGATTTCATGTCCTTTCAATAATGTCATTAAAAATCTAGGTCACCGCTGAAACAAAAAGTTTTTCAATCGCTCCGTCAGACCTCGTCTCAAAAATTCTAAAATCTGCGCCTGTGCCCATTGACCTTTGACCTGTGACCTCCATTTCGGCACAGTGATGGCTTTTCCTACCATGATGCGATACACCGACTATCACGAGCCTAGGTCGAGCGTTAGATTGTGCCGCAATTCTGCATTTCTCTTATACCTTAAGTTAAGGAGTGAAGGTTCCCTCCTTCTTTTACACCTCTTGACCTTTGACCTTTGACCCCCCAGCTTCGACAGCCCAAACTCGTTTTGACGACCCCCCCAATGTGCCGAATATCGTGACCGTACGTCGAGCGGTTAAGATTTGTGCCCAACTGTTGACGGACGGACGGACGGACGGTCAAGCGATTCTACAAGCTGCATCTGACTATGTCAGATGAGCTAATAATAATACCTCACCACACATTGGTCCGTTAGCTGCCATACTGAATGGTAAATACTAGACGGAAATAAGCACAGACCACTGAAGAATGAACAGAAGTGACAATCACACATGTATCAGGGGATGAATTTCGCAATTTTAGCCAGCGAGTGCCTAAAAAATCTACGTGCTAAAATGAATTCTAACGTGCAATTTTTTTGTACAACATAAACTACTTTTTGAATATTACATACACTTTTTGCATACTATTACTACTAATCGTTGGAATGAGCTTATGTTGTGATTTATGTATGTGAATCAGATTGTTTCATGCCATGTGTGTGATTGTGTTCTTGCCTTCTTATATATTTTGCATATAAAATGTAACTTGAAATAGATCAATCAAATCAAATTTGTATAAAACCTTAACACTGGCTTTATTATTTATTGAACAACGAAACAATCTCTTCGTGAGGATCTTTGTGAATAATTTTATAAAGAAGAATCCACATGGCATCAAAATTGCCTGATTGGCGAGCCGAGTGTTCCGTTTTTCGCTGGTTCCCGCGGTCTCCGCTAGGGTTCGGAATAAGTCTATCATTAGCGCAGCGAACCAGCGAAGTTCCGCTTGTGCGTGCTGCCGGAAGCGATCGGCATTATGAAAGTGTAAACAGTGTACGGTAAATAACGGCGAATTGAAACTTGTTTAGGCAATTTGACCGACCAGTTTGACCATTAATCATGAAATATATTCTTTCCGTGATCGACAGTGATAATGTATGCGGTGTACGCTATAAATTTCCACTCGCAGAAAATAGCAAGTGATTATATTTTCTACTCACAATTTCTCAATATCGACACGCATTTTGCGAGTTAGCAATAGTGAAATTCGAGCCCTGATGTATGCAAACAATGTTTATTTAGATTGCGCGAAACAGTGACATCACTAAGTGGCAGCTCCGCAAACTATAGATAGCTGGTTTAAAATTTAAATTAGTGCTGAATCACTGAAGATGCAAGACCACCAGATACCGGATGACCAGAGTCCAACGTTACGTATATTTAGTATTACAGTATTTAGTATTAACTGTTTTATTGTTGTATTATATTTTGTGTCGATAAATTATCTTAATCAGTTAAACAGTTTAGCAAAATACATTTGAAATTGAATTTGAATATGAAATTAGTATTTTTATGCAATTACTTCATGCCTATGCACAAATGGAAAAATGATATTTCAGCTATTGTTTCTTGTGGCTAACAGTGTACATCACGACCCATAAAATCATATCAGTGGCATGATGGCTGCAAAATCTCTTCAATTTTTGCAGAGGTATGGAGTTATTCATTAAAATACTAAATTAACACAATTTTACCCAATTCATTCCAAGATCGAAGCTTGTTGGCGGTAACGACATGCACGTACTAGTATGTATTAAATGCATAATTATAGCCTTTTACACATGATTTGGAACTTTGTTGGATGATTTGGAGTTTTTGTGATAGAGAGCCTTTATTTATGTCATGGATCTTTTTTACCCCCTAATGAACTTTTTCGGCAGTAGCACAGGCATTTGGAGCGTTTCCATAAAATATAATGCTAAATAAATACGAAATCTATTTACTACTAGTCTTAATGTTTCTCTCGGCCTACTGTCTTTCACCTATTATTGCCGACAATTTCCTGTAAATGCCATCCAAATGCTCATCTGCAACACACGCTGGCTTCCGCACGCTAGCTGCTGCACACTGACACATAAATATATAGCAGGTAGGAAAGCGTGCTGCCAAAATTCGCTTGATTTCACACGAATACAACACAAATAATCAACCATTCTACTCCATCTTTGTTTCCATTTAAAGGACAGTGTTCACTTGCTATAAAAACATACTGTCTGTGTTCGTAACCGAGCTGTGTCACGCGAAATCACACAAAGCCTGACGAAATTCTCGCGTTCGCTCCCGTTGCGCAGTTTATGTAAATGGCTGTCGGAATCAGGAAACACCCACCGGCGCTCTTCGTGACCTCATTTTTGCTCCGCAACGCTGCAACGTTTTTGCAACGCTCCACTGGCGGCTTTGACGAGGCTCGTACGGGAGTTGGAAAGCAGCGTGGTAGGTTCCCAAAATGCAGTGCGTCGCCTATAGCCCTGTACTTGCAGCACCCCCTGGCCATGATATAATAAAAAAACTTGGAGAACCCTGCTACCTGCTATATATTTATGTGTCAGTGTGCAGCAGCTAGCGTGCGGCAGCCAGCGTGTTGCAGATGAGCATTTGGACGGCATTTACAGGAAATTGTCGGTAATAGGTGAAAGAGAGTAGAGAAACATTAAGACTTTGGTAGTAAATAGATTTCGTATTTATTTAGCATTATATTTTATTGAAACGCTATAAATGCCTGTGGGCAGGAAGTTTTGGAGCATGCGGGCAGTGGACGCAAATCTAAAGCTTTCATTCTCATGGCCTTATTAATATTATAATATTAAGTAAGTTGTGTGCATGATGATGATGTATCATACATTGTACTATCAATCAATCAACACTACCTATTTTTTAAGCTCCGTGGACCACGGGTTGTTGAGCCCGGATTATCATATCATATGACACTGGCAATTTCATCCTCGTTAGGCTTTCACAGTCACTTGAATCGCTAGTTTAAAGGGATAGTTTACTCTAGGTTCTAGGATTATTTTCAGTTAATTTAGGTTAAAATTACGCTACATAAAAAATTTTCATGGTTTCAACCACCATTAGAAATATTATTAAAAATTGTTTCAAAACTAACGACTACAGTTTGATTACAACGACGGTGGCGCCACTCAAAGCGCACGATCTGATAAGTTGCGCAAATCCACTTTCCAGCCAAGGGCTACAGACCCAGGCTGTTTCTTATTTATTAATTTAAAAGCAAAAGGATTGTAATATCTTATAAACGACATATATAGTTTCAGTTATATTATGGATAAATTTGTCCTAAAATGAACATCGTTCGGTTAAATAGCATTTAGGTATGAATATAAGTGCACCTTTGTGATTAGCCCTCGGTCTGTAACGTGCAAAATAAATTGGCAAATACGCAACTTTTTCAGGGTGGCAGCACGGTCGTGGGTGTCATGGCGCCATTCAAATTTCGTAGCGTTGATGTGTAATTAATTATAACAATCAAATTAGGTATCTGGTAACAAATACGTGTGGGTATAGACGATTTGTTATACAGTAAATACAGTTATATGCAGAAAAATCCCAGAGTCTACTATCCCTTTAATGAGGTTATTTTATGTCGTGGCAGCTGTTGCGAATTGATTATTTGTTTTTGTTTTGTTTGTTCGGTTACTTTATTTTATACTGGACTAAAGGGTTTTAAATCCACATTCATGAGTAGAAACCCACTCCAGGAATCTGGCTCGGTCCAGTTTTTGGCAGTTCTTATTGCACAATTTATTTGAAGCAGATTTTTACGACTGTATGCCCTTACTAACATCAACCCGTGACGGGAAGTTTTCCCACACTCTATCTCTTTTTGCTGAGTGCTAAGCAGAGAAGCAGTGTGTACCATTTTTCAAGTCTTTGGTATGACCCGGCCGGGATTTGAACCCACGACCTTCCGCATGCGAGGCGAGCACTCTACCATTGAGCCATCGCTGCGGTACAAAAATACGTTTATGTATACGTGTACGTAGTACGTTGCAGTATCCAAAATTGGCATCGAGGCAACGGAATCGGGAGAGTGCTAATTATTTTAGAATTGATGTTGGCTGAGCTTAGATGTAAATGTTAATTCAAGTGTGAAAATTGACTGCANATGCGGGAGGGCTGAGGTATTGCCACCGGCGCGCGAAAGCCCGCCCGAGCGACGGCGAGCCAGGCGACCGAGCGGGGGGGGTGTTGGAGGAGGGTTCCCCCTCCGACGGCAGGGGAGCTTGTTCAATTTTTGCCACTGAAATAGAGAGCGATCTGGTGCACGACTCGAAGGTGAAAAACGGAATAACACCTTTTCAATACAGGTCTATGTTACATGTCAACTATAGTGAAGTATATAATTGTGCATCAATGATGAATACATGTAATAGCGAATAAAGCAATCATGAATATGTGAATGTTTTCAGGGCGTACAAGAAATTCCCATTTTCTTCAAACCTTGGTAATAGGCTCAAAAAATACATGGCTGAATTGATATTTAAACACTTATAACATTCACTCGACTAGCTTATTATCTTTAGTTTATCTTCATTGTTGCTGACCACAGCTTTTGCCTTAAAAACCCAAGCTGGCTAGCGATTATTACATAAAGAATACATCAACATTTATTAATGAAAAAGACGTAAGAACTAAAGTGCAAAACTAAACTAAAAGAATTAAAGGAACTATATAAAATATATACATAAAACTAACGCTCATAGGGTGTATGTCCCCAGGTTACTGCCGGAACGCTACCCTGCCGGTACCAGGGATGCTTACAGCGGGGGGGGGGTCCAGGGGGCTTTTGGACCCCCCCCCCTGCCTCGGACGCAGAAACCGCATCTGAGGGGGCTCTAATATTCAAAAATGTTTTGTTGGAGAGTCCCCAGCGACCCCCCCTCGCCTGCTCGCCAGTTTGGGTACGCGTTAGACCCCCCCCCCTGGTAAAAAATCCTGTACGACGCCCCTGGGTTACAGTCCGGCATATACCGGCACTGCGTTATCAGCGTGCGGTAGGCTCTGAGTGCTGCGCGTACTTAAGCTGTGCATCACGGCGTGTGTTACGCAGTGCGTTAGTGTAATATAAGTACTAGAGTAGGTGTCGGCATATGCGAAGTACGGGTACCAGGGGCGTAAAGTCCGTACCGGAGGAGTGGGGCGGATAATCACGCGTAGCGGGCGCGGTCTGGGGTCTCAGAAATTTTTTGAATTAGACCCCCTCAGATGCTTTTCTGCGCGAGCGAGGCGGAGGGTCCGCGACCTCCTGGACCCCTCCCCTACCACGCCCCCCTGCAGTAAGTTGAAATGATTTAGGTCTGCCCATGTCTCCAAATTATCATAATTAAGCTAGAACTTTCAAGTGTGGCACGAGGAAGGAGTTTTTTTTTTTGGAATTTCAGGGGGGCATATTTGCTACAGGCCATCCCCCCTCCTTCAAGAGGCGGGGGGATGCATCCCCCATCCCCTCCCCGGATTTACGCCCATGACGGGCTACTGATATTTCGACCCTCGATCGAGCCTCCGCAAGCACAGGACTCAGGCCCCGAACGTCCGCACGGTATTGGCGCGCAAATACGGCGCTGCTGCATGGTCTGTTTGCTATTAGATAAGGCCCTAGAGCGGACTTCGTTTCAAACTTTGCTAATTTCAATAGGCAGATGAATATATGGTGCGAATAAACACTCTCTGGTCGGCTCTTCCCCCTTCCTCTCCTCCTTATTCCGTCTTTCTTTGGGCTGCATTTTCTTTCCGCATCATACAAAGATACATCTAGACATATATTTTTAGCCAAAAAAAGTGGTGCGGGGCCCGGGCCCCCGGCCCCCCCGTACGCGCCGGCCCCTGCTCAGTATATTCGCCGCTCGTCACATTCGAATTCCTCCGCGGCAGAAAGGATAAGGGACACTTTGTACCCTCACTTCCTTTTTGTGGGTTACATTATTTCGTATCTAGGATGGCATCGGGAACGTCGCATGGGACTGGGATTGCACTGGATAGATTAGGTAGTTTGGGCGGTATTTCGCTTTCAAACAAGCGGTCAACCAAGCCTGCAGTAAGCCAAAGACACACTGCAGCGACAACGACCGGCCGTAACGACAACGACAAAATTGCGGCGGAACTGGCGCAGCCACACTGCAGCGCGACACCACGATCCGAGTGCCGTAACGACAAAAGTTCACCAGCACCTCACCACAGTGCTACTCATGAGCAAACGGCAAAAAAGTCCTGGCTGCTGCCTTTTAAATAATATTGGCTGTAAAAACGCTCCTATGTATAACGAGAATATAATGAAGTAATATATACGCAGGCCAGCATTTAATTATTATACGAACAGTAAACAATATTCATGCGTTCGTCTTGGCACGTTTTGGTTAATGGTTCGCGGCCCACTGTTTCTGGACAGCGCGTGGAGTTAGCTGCTGGGAACCAGCTACTTCCTGGCTAGCATTGGTTTATAATTGTTATGACTGTAAGTGGCGATGTCACGTTGCCGATGGAAACCGGCTAGTTGATTGGCCCATCTTGTAACAGTGTCGGCCGGCGACAGTCGCGCTGGGAAATAGAAACGCTTTCTAAATATTTTTTTTCGTCAGCAGGTTGTCGCCGGTCGTCGTCGCGGTCAGTCGTGCAATGCGCCTGCATAGGAAGACAATAGTTTCTTAATTTTTGCGTGAAAAGTCGTTTTGTCGTTACGGGTCCGGGGCGCCGGGCGCCCCGGCGCGCAGGCGGCTCGTGTTGTCGCTGCGAGTGTGTCTGGCCTTAACGCCACTGATTTCCCCCGGGCGTAACGCCGCGGTATCCGCGCTAGTTAATAATAATAATAATATTAATAATAATATAAAATAAATGCCAAAATAATATTTCTTGAAGGACGACAAGGCGTTCGCAAGAAACGGTAATACTCTTTATAAATTTCCAAATTACCCGTGTGTCAAATTTTTTACTGGTTATACCAACGACGTCAACCTAACTATATCATTCGTTACCATTTTAAGCATTAAACTTATTTAAACAACCTTCAAAACGTACCAATTCGCACGAAGTTGAAACAGTAAGCTAACTTTAGCTTTACTTGCGTGTGCACTTTGTCGTTGACGTCATCGATATTGTGTTCCAAGTGGTCTCGCTGCGAAACTTGGGAAAATTACGAATTACCATTTGGCAACCCTGGAAACAACGGAACACCATAAATGGGAAAATGGCCGATGTAGAAGAACCTGGTGTTCCAGGCGTTGAAAACCACCAAGAAACACCACCCGTAAAGGACCCACCCATCGAAGGAGGCGATCAGCAGCACGATGAAGTAGGAGCGCCACAGTGGGACTATCCTGATAGAGGTTATGCACCGCGCGGATAACCCCAAATTCGGGGGCCACCGAGAGGCCGTGGCGGCTATCGGGGCCCTCCACCGAGAGGGGGGCCGCCGAGAGGGTAGGAAAATAAAACATTGTTTAGTAGGAATAACGTGTCATTGTCGTGTTTTTATGTGGTTCTACTTATCAACTATACTAACACCATAGGATTTATGCATTCTGAAAGCCCCTTGCTCAGAATTGCGTGTGATTAACAGATTATCTTATCCTCATTAGTCATTACTACTAATACTAGACGGCGACATAATTCTTGTCCCATCATGAACCTTTTTATATTTTTAGGTGCGGCGTTATATTGGGACAGAACGGGGTTCATTGAAATTTCGTGAGATTGCATGGCAATCCTGCGCTGCGCTAATGCGGCCGCGTACGCCGCTATTTGCGCGGAAAAAAAACCTACCGTTCCCTTCTACATGCTTTAACCTTGCATACTGAATTATGTTATACATTCACTTCAAATCGTTATTTACTCTTAAAAGATTGTTTTTTAGCTCATCTGACATAGTCAGATGCAAGCTTGTAGAATCGCTTTGATCGTCCGTCCGTCGTGCGTCCGGTCCGTTCCGTGCGTCCGTCCGTGCGGTGCAACAGTTGGGGCACAAGATCTAACACGGCTCGACGCCGGACGTCCAGCGATATTCTGGACGTGGGGGTGGTAATGCCGAAAACGAGTTGGGATGTCGAAGCTGGGGGTCAAAAGGTCAAAGGTCAAGAGGTGTAAAAGAAGGGCGGGAAACATTCCATCCTTACTTAAGGTTATAGGGAGGATAATGCAGAATTGGGCGGCATCAAATCTGAAACGTCTGCGACCTAGGCTTCGTGATAGTGTGGTGTAAGTCGCATCACGCGTAGGACAAGCCATCATGTGTGATGAATGCGGAGGCTCACCAGGTCAAAGGTCCGAATGGGGCAACACGGGCAGATTCTTAGAATTTTCGTGAGGACATGGGTCTGACGGAGCGATTGAAAAACCTTTTTGTGTTTGCCAAAGCGGGACGATCATTTATATGGCTTATTGAAAGGACCAGAAATCTGCTTTTCCACTGAGTGCGAAGAGTAAGTGTTTGAATAACCTTTTGACCGCTCAAGCAGAGGGTTAGAACATGGTATTTTGTTGACTGTTTTAACAATGGAGTCGAACTGCTTTTGCTATAAGAGCCTCCTCACCCCCACGCCTCCCCTTCCCTCTCCCCGCACCCGCTCCCCCACGCCCTGCCCACCCCTCACGCCCACCCCTTCCCGCACCCTCCATCTGCGATAGTGGGCGTGTCTAACAATGATGTGTACGCATATCTGCGTGTCTGCAGTATCTGCGGCCTAACAAATGTGGCTACTCACGCACGACTGAAATTTTAGCGTTTAATATCGTAGGCAACAAGACCGTCAATTGAGCGCAGACGCTCTGCGGCCTCTTGTTTTAGAAAGCCCCGCTTCATTACTTTAGTAAATTACTGGGTTGGCCATTTACAAAGCAATCCAGACAAAGTCAGCAAGCGAGCTCTGAGCAGGCCTCCTGGCAGCCGCCGACAGATACAAGCGAGAACCAGGCGGCTATTGTAAGCTCCGCTGTGATTGGTCTGATTGTTTGTAAAATTGGCCAACGCGAATTTACTACAAGTTAATGCAAGGCGCGTGTTTCTCGAACAAACAATCTTTTAAGAGTAATAACGATTGAAGTGAAATGTATAGCACCTATCAGTAGGCAAGGTAAATGCCATGTAGAAGGGAATGGTAGCGTTTTTTTTCCGTGCAATAGCCCGGCGTACGGCGCCGCATTAAGCAGCGCATGCATTCTGCATGCCGAATTCTCACGAAATTTCAATGAACTCGCCGTTCGCTGTCGCACCATATTAAGTAACCCGTGCGCCAAAAATATACAAAAAGGTTATATGGGACAGAATTATTCGGTCTTATAGCTCAATACTAGTATATACCTACTTATTTACAGTATTAGTACTATTAGCTATTAGTGCAGTAATAACTAATACTAAGTTCACTATTCAGTATTACTAAATTACGAGCTCAGCCACAGGAAGCTAGTACATCGCGCTTCGGCCAAAGAGATATTCGCACCGCGGCGGTGGAATAAGGACACATTTTCAGCGTATTGCCTGCCGCGGGGCGTAGGTAATAAGGACTCACTTCAGCTATTCGTGCCCAGCTGTGTGCGGAATAAAGGGGGGCGACAACATTTGCTGCTATTCGACTGCCGGCGGTGCGGAATAAGACACATTTTCAGGCTATTCGTGCCGCGGCCGGTGCGAATAATGCGACACATTTCAGCTATTCGATGCCGCCAGCGTTGCGAATTAAGGACACATTTGCTGCTTATTCGGGCACTTGGCGGCGGTGCCCGAATAAGGACACATTTGCTGCTATTCGCACGGTGCGGCGGTCGCATATAAGGACATGCAGCTGCTTTGCTGCTTTCCCACGCTGCGCGGGGGGGGCGGTGCGAATAAAGGACACATTTGCTGGCTGATTCGCACCGCGGCCTGTTGCGAAATAAGGCACACATTGTGCTGCTATTTGCACCGCCGGCTTAGCTGCGATATTACACGAACAGTTTGCCTGCCTATTCGCCCACCCGCGGGCGTGCCGGAATTAAATTTTCGAGTTTTCTTATTACTTACTTAGTTAGGTTATATGCACTGCGGCGGTTGCCAATTCGTTTCCCAGCTTTTCTTATATGCCGCGCGGCGGTGCCGAATTCGATATTTTCAGGTTTTCTTACATATACTATATATATGTATTATATTAGTACAGTGTTTCCCCTGGCCAAAAGGGCAGCCGGAGGCGGTAAAAATTGTTTTTGGTGGTTGCGGCAAGTCGTGAGAAGCGAGGAATGCGAGCACCGAAGGTGATTTAAGGGACAAGGAATTTAAAAAAATTGGTGCAATTTGGTGGCATTCTAAGGGGTTCAAAAACATTATATGAGGACTTGGAATCACTTTTTCAAGACGTTGCTCAACAAGGACAAACAAGCTTCTGGGATAGTTTACTTTTGTTTTCTCCTTCCCCAGTCCTCCGTACCCCATGCATATAGATCAACTGCGCTGCCCGCATATCGCAAAGTTACAAGTTGCCCTTAAGGGGCGGATCCAGGATTTCTCTGCCGACGGGGGCGGGGGCGGGGGTTGAGCACTGGCGGCCTAGGGGCCAAATTTTTTTTAGGCCTTATTATGGATGGTGCCTCAGATGCATTTTCGAAGCAATGTTAGAGTTCCATGAATCACTAGTGTCAAGATTTGTGTACCCGATCACAAAGAATCACAATTCTAGAGGCCACCGTACATGAGCGCGATTTGGAGCCGATTTCTGCCTATCAAAGCATGTGTTGTAGTGCATCCAATTGTCAGAAAAGATGGTCACGAGAGTTGTAGGCACACAGCTGACTATCTTGCCCGATGAATGGAGAATTTATTCAGGAGACAAGTCGGGCCAGAAATCAGCTCCAAATCGCCGCAGTGTAGGGGTGGCCCTTTAAAACACATTAAAAAACAGAAAAACTCCACGTATAGTGTACATAACAAGCGACAGTTGTGCATGTTAAGAAGGAGATGACTATCGTTTTTAATTGAATAAATGTCGAACAGATAAGAATGACAGCGATAAGGGTATCATGATAAATATGGGATCACATGTCCATAGTCGCAATAAATTTTTGTATTACACAATTGAGACAGTTTTGTACTATATTTACACAAGGGCGCTGATTTTTGAGGCAAGTGACGGTCTTCTAGGCGTGTGTGATGAAAAATCAGGTCCTAAAAAAATTATTTCCGTTTTTCGAAAAAGGGCACTTCGGGGCTTGACGGGGGGGGGGGGGGGGTTCGAACCACCCGAACTCCCCCCTGGATCCGCTCCTGGCCTAGAATCTTGAAGTATATACAGTTTACATTGCTTCTAGATATCTAACTGAATAAAAATAGTCAACGTTCTACGTAAAGAAAAGAGCCGAATTCAGTTAAAGTAATACTTGACTCTACAGGGTTCGTAGCGGGTCTTCCAAAGTCTTATAAGTACTTATTTTGCCAAAAATAAAATAAGGGCCCTTATTAGTACTTATTTTTGTTGAAATCTTAGAAAAGTACTTAATAGTCCTTATTTTTTGCCAAAGGATCATTGTTTTCTAAACTGTTCTCGACAAGTTAGAGTAAGAATTGTTGTATATATAATACGGAATAATTAAATCTGCTGTGCAAGTTTGTGTATATAAATATTATTAGTGTACTTGTGTAATAGTCGGTGATCTATCAGAAATCGCATAAAAAAGTCTTATTTTGGCCTTCAGAAAGGGTCTTATAAGTCCTTATTTCAACATGTGTCTTACTACTATGAACCCTGCTCTAGGTTCTACTACTAGGGTTATTTTCAGTTGATTTAGGTTAAAATTACGCTACATTAAAAATTTCATGGTTCAATCACCATTAGAAATGTTTTAAAATTTTTTTTTTAAACTAACAACTGCAGTTTGATTACAACGACGGTGGCGCCACTCAAAGCGCACTATCTGAGAAGTTGCGCAAACGGACTTTTTAGCCAAGGGCTACAGACCGAGGGTGTTTCTTATTTATTAATTTAAAAGCAGAAGGATTGCTATATCTTACAAACGACATATAGTTTAAGTTATAATATGGATAAATGTGTCCTAAAATGAATATCGTTTGGTTAAATAGCATTTAAGTATAAATATAATTGCACTTTTGTGATTAGCCCTCGGTCTGTAACATGCAAAATAAATTGGCTAATGCGCAACTTTTTCAGGGTGGCTGCACGATCGCGGGTGTCATGTCAGCGCCCAAAAATGAAGATTTCGAAGTTCAATGTTGTTTTATGATATTAAAACGTGAATGCGTAATTATAGATATTTATAGGTATGTGCTATTATTTATAAATGTACTATCATAATATACTTACAAATTCTAGAGTAATGTATTCCTTTAACAGCTTTGATTACGTGCGTGTCAGGTGTCACTGGTCGTGCCATCACTCCCCACGATAACCTCTGCGACATATGAACTTATTGTTATGCGGTCATAAAAACACTGGGCTACGCTATAGGCCGCAATCGATTTCTTAGACTGTCACAAGGTTTTGTTCGTGTGGCGAATCATGCGTTGGGGGAGTTCATGCCCTCGGCTCTAGTTGTTTTGGATATCCTGTCCACGTTCAGGAACGGAGCGTATTACTATTAGAATGCGCTCCCGTTTACAAGTCTGTCTAAACTGCCGTTGCGATAACCGTAATATGAGGGGGGAAAGTTTCGTAGAGATGGTGGCCGAAGCAAAAATTTGGTGGCCTCGGACCTCCGAGTCGGCACTAATTTCGAACGCTGTCAATAAAGTGTAGTTTATTGATGGAAGAACACTGTTTTCGTCAGCGAGGCGGTGTTTTTGGATAAATTTCTGCGTGGAGGGTGAGATTTGAGCGAGGCGGCAGCCTCGCTAGTGTCAATGCAGGGGAAACACTGTATATATATATATATATATCAGGAGCTAATGAAGACAAAGGAGTTTGACACGTATTTGGTACTGCTTTCACTACATTTTTGTCGTACGAGTTTGATGTGAATAAAAATACAAATGTATAGTACAAACATGAGCTTCTTTTGTTCACTGTTCCTTATTCTATCTTCCGGTAGTATTACAAACCGCGTAGCTTCCTTCATTTTGACATAAATCATACTTTTGCACGACATGGTTTTAACGTTATTTACGGAAATTTAATTAAAGGAACAGTAGCCTCTAGGTTCTAGGGTTATTTTCAGCTAATTTAGGTTATAATTGTGCTACATAAAAAGTTTCATGGTTCAATCACCATTAGAAATATTTTTTTTTAATGTTTTAAAACTAACGACTACAGTTTGATTACAACGACGGTGGCGCCACTCAAAGCGCACGATCTGAGAAGTTGCGCAAAACCACTTTCCAGCCAAGGGCTACAGACCGAGGGTATTTCTTATTTATTCATTTAAAAGCAAAAGGATTGTAATATCTTATAAACGACATATAGTTTAAGTTATAATATGGATAAATGTGTCCTAAAATGAATATCGTTCGGTTAAATAGCATTTAGGTATAAATATAATTGCACTTTTGTGATTAGCCCTCGGTCATTTACCTGCAAAATAAAAATGCAAATACGCAACTTTTTCAGGGTGGCAGCACGGTCGCGGGTGTCATGGCGCCGTTCAAATTTCGTAGCGTTGATGTGTAAATAATTAATTAAGTATCTGGTGACAAATACATGTGGGTATAGACGATTTGTTATACAGTAAGTACAGTTGTATGCAGTAAAATCCTAGAGGCTACTGTCCCTTTAAGTTTATTCCAAAATATTATTTTACCAAATGAGTCCTTTTGTTTACCATACCCTGTATTTATGTGTAATCCAACTATAACTAATAGTGAAATATCAGATATTACAATCATTCCTCTTTTAATTTAATAAATAAGAAATGCCAAAAGTCCATGGCCTATAACTGAGAAATATTGTAGCGAAATTAATTTATTGCTCCTTAGCATAGAATATGATAATACCTATTACATGATTTTTAAATTTTATTATTTAGCATTAAGTTTAAAATGACACAATTTCATGTTTTTTTTCAAGGCCACCACCTCCATTTGGTAGTAGGGGACCGCCTCCGAGGTTTAGAGGACCTCCTGGACCTCCTCCAGGAATGCGAGGGCCCCGGGGTCCTCCTATGAGAGGTCACCCACCTCATATGATGAGAGGACCTCCACCCCCAGGGTAGGCGGAAAACTGATGCTATAATAATAAAATAACATCAGAGATGGTTAGCTCACCATGTTGAACATAATAATTTGTTTCAATTAAGACCTCGTAAGTTCATCCATTGTGCAGGGTTTTGCCCACGGTGGGCGGGTGTGCCCGGCACTCGCGGTTGCCGCCCGGCACTATATATCTCCGCCCGGCACAAATTTTTTATATTAAAAAAAAAGGGAAAAAAAGATGATATATGGGGGGCTTTTTATTGCTCAGAATGCAGGAAATTTAGTTTCAGACTATCCAAAATCAAAAATTTTCCGGGGGCATGCCCCGGACCCCCCTAGATTGGCTTCGCGCCAACGGCGCTTGTATCGTCGCAACTGGATGCGCCCGGCACTAAAAAATCCTGGGCAGAACCCTGATTGTGTATCAAATAGTTTTTCGTAAGTAAAAAGTTAAATTATGACCCATTTTGCTTATTAAATTCTGGTTCAATCTATAATTTCGTAAATGTCTACATAATTCGAGCCACGTATTTTATATATACTGTTAACTAAGAGTTTATCATAATTATTATCAGTATATACTGGTAGATGATTGGTCAATTCACATAATTCATTTGCATTTAATTGCTATCAACATCACCACTAATTTTTTCAGTTATCGAGGGTCAATACCGTATGATGGAAGTTACATGGGCCCTCCAGGCATGTCTCCACATGGAATGGGACCGCCAGGCATGGTTAGTGTACACTCGACATAGAAGTATTTCGTATTGTCAGTGAACAAAGGGAGATGTTCTCTAGTATATATTTGTCAATTCTCCAAGTGCATGCTACGACACATCAGTGTTGTATGAAGAGAAAGGGTTCGTCAAACCGCTATCGCCGCAGTGTCTTTTTTCTGTAACACGGTGTTAAATGATTTTGTCTGAAGTAAACCTTATACTACCTGAACCTATATGAAAGCCAGGTGGGAAATACGAGGGTTATCTGCTGGATCATGTTGAGATTGGTCCACTCTGCGTTTCTTACGAAACCCGTGTGCGATTTAGGTACTCGGAAATCCATGGATGCATTTCTTTAGCTCGTAATATTCAGAGAGTTTAGTGATCCCCATGACTCGGGATTTGCATTAGCCACACAGATAGCTTGTCGAGAGGAAGCTAGGACGATATAAAAATTAAAAAAAGCAAAATTTCAAGGTGCTAAATAACTAACCAAACAATAATAATGCTAAATAATACCGCTAATAATAATGCTAAATAATACCGCTAATAATAATGCTAAATAATGGCGCTAATAATAATGCTAAATAATAGCGCTAGTAATAGTGCTAAATAATAGCGCTAGTAATAATGCTAAATAATAGCGCTAATAATAATGCTAAATAATTAACAGAACAATAATAATAAATAATAGCGCTAACAATAATGCAAAATAATAGCATAACAACTAGCGAAGCCTTCGACGAGAACACGCGAGAACCCGTGTGAGTTACAAGCAGTTGCGTCCTGTTGCAGAGACCACCGCACATGGGCCCGCCACCGATGAACATGGGCCAGCCCCCTCCCGGCTACAGCTCGGGGTCAGCGCAGCCGTCCAGCGCGCCGGCAACCAACGCCCTCGCTGGCGTCGACCTCACGAATCTGTGGGTGGAGACGAAGAGCGGCGAGGGGAAGCCCTACTATTACAACGCGAAGACGCGCGAGGTGGCGTGGGCGAAGCCTGAGAATGTCAAGGTGATCACGCAGAGCGAGCTGGAGTCGCTCGTGCAGCAGGCGGCGGCGGCCGCTGCTGTAGCCGCGGCCGTGGCGGTGACGTCCACCGTCGCACCGGGAACATCCACGGCCGCCCAGGCTGCTGTCGCACAGGGTATGTAGCTTGCAGTCACGCACGTGAATGTGAGTGATGGGGTCCTGTATTGCACAGGCTCACACCAGGCTGCTGTTGCAGAGCGTCTGTACTTTGCACACATGTGGCAGTATGAATGTAATAGTACAGCTGCTCAGAGTATTGTCACGCATTGCTCTACCATACGTAATTTGTTTTCCCAACTGCTAAATTTGTTGCATAGATTTCTTTGTTGTAAATAGTAATTAAATATTAAATATTATTAATAATGTTAGTATTAAATTAATAAAATTGCACATACTTTGACATTTAACTACAAGCTATTAGCCACATAAAATATGACAGTAGTAGCGTAATGTTACTCGCATTCGCATGTTTAATACATATACACTGACAAGATATGTTGTACCACATTTGTCAGCAAAAGATGCTGTTGAACATGTTCAATTAATACTTGCAGCCCAGATGTCGATGCAGCAGAAGCAGGGTGGTCCAGCGCAGGATTGGGAGGAGGAACACAGTGAAGCTCCTAGTCAGAGCCAGCCAGATTCCGCGCAGCCACAGCAGCAGCACCAGACGCCCATGCCAGGTATACGCATGTCACACGCACCTAGCGCAAGCACCAGAGTTACAACTGTAGGAGAAATTGAGTGAAAATTAGGGGTGCACCGGATCCAACTTTTTAAGTTCCGGCCGGAACCGGAATCAGTCGGAACTTGAAAAAAGTTCCGGCCGGAACTACCTGGCCGGAACCGGAACCGGAACTTAAGCTGGGAATAATCTTGACAGTTTTGGCTCAGTATTGCTCAAACTCACTCGGCCTGAACGAAATATTATTAGCAGGCACATCACTCAGGCGAGTAGGGCAATGCTCAAAGTTCTAATTACGGGATCGTTGTCGGTTGTTAGGTGTTTGAATCGGCTGCTTATACAGTACATAATTCTGGCATCTTATTCGCGAGCGAATTCTGTGGCAAAACCTGCATGTTGCAGTATCCCTGGTTTTACTGTTTTAGTCAATTATTTTCAACTAACAGACAGGTGGCTCTAAGAATATTTGATTTTAAAAGAAAATCTCGTGAATCACCTAACATCGGTTAGGTTCAGTTAGTTAGCCGATGTTCAAGTGGCAAGAGATTTTTGGGCGGAATAGTGTGAAGTTGTTAACACTATATTGTCAGCAAGTTGACTCTATTGATTCTGAACTACATTCAGAGACTGATCTTTTGATAATGATGACGCTTGTAGCAGAAATGAAATTAGGAAAATGTTTTTGAAGGGTTCCGGCCGGAACCGGAACTCTGGAAAATTGGGGATCCGGCCGGATCCAAGTTCCGGTGCACCCCTAGTGAAAATGAGGTGGTTTTTATGTTACATGTGTTTTTAATTAAATATTACTGTTTTACCTTTTTTTACTAACTCTTTTGAATTGTCTGGATTCGAGGATGTAATCTGTAAGGATATGTTACTTCGTAAACCAACAAATCCAGTCAAAATCTGACAAATTTGTAATGATGTGATAGGGTTAATGGCGGAAGGTATAAGATAGCCAAATTATTACAAGATGAAGTTTTAGTAAATATCTATATATATGATACACAATGTCTGTAGGCATAATGAGATTCGTGAAAGAATGTTCAGTTATTTGAGCTCAATTCTCTATTAGTATTTTCTACAGGCAGCAGAACCATACATGTATACATACCACATGAGCGTGTGCCATTCATATTTTTTGCTTTAGTTTAAATTTTATTATAATTATGCGTACATGTACAGCTGCAGCTGTTGATTCACAGGGAGATATGTGGCATACTTCGAATGCATCGGGTTTTGGTTGAGGAGTCCATATGAGTGGCTTTGTGTAGTCTTGGCAAATCCCTAACGAATTAAAGGGGGGGGGATGCACCGCTTGGAATACCAGATTAATTTTGGTCTGAAATGAAATTTCTTTTTCAACTTGCCAAGATTTGGTATATTGTAGCTTCAAATAGGCATATGTTTTGAAATGTTGTAACATGCATGTGGCTGTTCACAATTATCTGATTGAGTTTATGTGATCAGGTCAAGCGCATGGTCAAGGGCAAGGCCCGGGCCAGGGCCAGGGCCAGGGTCAGGGCCAAGGCCAAGGCCAAGGCCCAGGGCAACAACCTGGCATAGGTATGCCTCCAGGATACCCACCCCACTTCTCTTCTGGCATGCCACCTGGAATGTACCCGCCTGGCATGGGACCGCCCCCAAACATAATGGGACCACCAGGCATGCCCCCTCCAGGTATGTGAGCACTGTTTAATCAGGATAATTGTGTGAGAGATTACTACTCGTACTGCGCGACAGCGTTCGCATTAATGCAGCTGGCATGCGTCGTCAACAGCTGTTGGGTCTCTGCTTCCCTCGCCGGACTAATTGCGTGGTTTCGCTGCAGGAATGTTCCCTCCTGGTTATCCCCCGCCGGGAATGTATCCGCACGGAGGCCCCGGAGGACAGCACCCGCAGAACGGAGAGACCCGTGAAGAGCCGCAGGTAACGCTCGCGCGCGTTGCATCGCTTGCTCACGAGAAGCGATCTTAGCAGCAGGTTTACGATATCGCGCGCGATGCGAAATCCGTCCGTGCGAAAGCTGCTGAAATACCTGTGTGTCGATATAGTGATCTACTGTAGATGTATATACGATATCGAAATGTAGTGGTTCAATGCGGAAATACGGTAGCTTTTTTTACGTGGTTTTTGAGATGTAGAATGTCCGCGGGTCTCGTATCGGCGGACGTGGTTTTTGAGATGTAGAATGTCCGCGGGTCTCGTATCGGCGGACGTGGTTTTTACTCGGGCACATGCAGGGGTAGAAATGATCTTTTGAACAAGGGAGTCCAATAGACTCCCTGCCCTCAAAAAGAGGGAATCCGCAGCAAAATGAGGGAGTCATTAATCTGAAGTTCAAAATTAAAGATTTGCTGAAAAAATACGGTAATTCCGAGAGGCCATGCTCTGGAACGAACTAGTTAGTATAGCAGAATTTTCAGGAAGTCACACGGACTCTTGAGTCCTGCATGTGTCAAATCAGGGAGTCCGACAGTAAATCAGGGAGTATTTGACTCCGGACTCGCATTAATTTCACACCCTGCGTATGTTTGCCCGCAGGAGGGAAGTAGCGAGCAGTCGAATGACGTGGTAGCCAAGCTAGAGGAGGAGTGCAAGAGCTGGTCCGAACACAAGAACACGGACGGCCGGCTCTACTACTACAACTCGTCGACGATGGAGTCGACGTGGGAGAAACCACCGGCCATGAAGAACCTGGAGGGTGAGTGGGAAATCAGTGTAAATTAAGATAAAAAATTTAATAGGGGGGGTGTAGATTACCTTATGTTTTTGAGAGCAGAAGTAGGCATACATCACTGCCATCGCATTTAGCTTTTCATGTCAGCTATTATGAAATAGGATTCATGACACATCCGCGATAGGAAGACTTGTTTACATTCATAAAGCTATCGAGTGATATAATGTTTGGGATGAATGCCTGCAGCGTGCACTCTTTCTTTCCACAATTTTTTGTTTGATTAGAGTTGCTTCTTTCAGGGTCGTTCACATATCCTTGACTACATGTATTTGTATGTTTTTGTATACGTATGTATAGGTATGTATATTACCAGTGTTTCCCCTGGCCATAAGGGTCTGTGAGGTGGTAAATCTTTTTGGGTGTGTTTTTGGTGTAGATTTGGTGCATTCTAAGCTCTATATTTTGATTTTAGTTCAATAAAGTGTAGTTTATTGATGGTGTTGGATGGCGAGTTGTTTTTTTGGAAAAATTTCTGTGTGCCGGCTGAGAATTTGAGCGAGGCGGCCCGCCTCGCTTGTGTCAAAGCAAGGGAAACACTGTATTACCGTTTATTAATGATGTGTTTCCTATTTTCTGTGTGTGTGTGTGGGTGCGTGCGTGCGTGCGTGCGTGTGTACAGCTATTTCTTTCCACAATTTTTTGTTCGATTATAGTTGCTTCTTTCTGGGTCGTTCACATATCCCTGACAACGTCATGTATTTAATATTTTTGTATACGTATGAATGACGTGTGTCATTTTCTGTGTGTGTGTGTGTGTGTGCAGCGGCACGGCTTGCAGCCCAGCAGCCCGAGATGCAGGCGGAAATCCAGGCTGCGCCGCAGATACGGCAAGACCAGCCGATGGAGGACAGGCAGGCGATGGAGCAGGGCGCGCAGGTGCCAAAGGAGGAGGCAGTCGAGATCAAGAGTGAGGAAGTGGAGAAGGAAGAGGTGAGTAGGCATGAAGTGAGGACGGAGTGGTGAAGGAGGAGGCAGTCGAGAACAAGAGTGAGGAAGTGGAGAAGGAAGAGGTGAGTAGGCTTGAAGTGAGGACGGAGGGTCAGAAAAGATCGAAGACATACAGAAAGAAGGCATCTACTCCATCATTGTCGTGACAGTCGTGTATGTTTGTCTCGATTGTAGGAAAAGGAAGAAGAGATGACAGAAGAGCAGAAAGCAGCCGAGCGTGCGAAGCCAGTTTCGTCTACACCTGTGCCGGGATCGCCGTGGTTAGTTGCCTCCGCTAAGGAGGTTATGATTTTGCCCCTGTTCGTTTGTTGGTTTGTTTGTCTGTCAGCAGGATATCTCAAAAAGTTACGGACGGATTTTGATGAAATTCTTTGGACGGGTTGGGCTTTGGCCAAGAACCAATCGATTAGATTTTGGTCGTGATCCGGATCCAGATCTGGATCAAGGAATATATTTGAAGGATTTATCATTGATCGTAGTGTAGCGGTTTGCTCTCTAACCGCTTCGCTTCGCTTCGCTTCGCTTCGTTTCGCTTTCTCTCTCTGTAGGGGTTTATGATGTGTCATCGCCGCGTTAAATCCGACAACAAATTAGATCGATAGCTATATATATAGATATATGGGGGGACTGTTAAGCTGTGGCATAGGTTTGCTATCTTTATGATGATGTTTTTCTGCCTAGCGTTGATGAGTTTCAATCATAATCCTGCTACAATTTGTGAATATTCATATATTTTGTACATTCCAACACATGGCACAGTGGAATGTCATTAATCCCAGAAAAAAAAGCAGTCAACACAAACGATATTATATAGCATACAAACAGCAGAATGGTTGGAACTGGTGCTAAGAGTGCATACATCAGATATATTGTCTCTAGCTGATGAAAGAAAATTAACTGATTGTTTGTTGCCAAAATTATTGAAAGGAGGCATACGCTGAACGTGATTAAATAGCTGGGAGCACGCAGATAACAATTCTCGGTGATGGTGTCTCCATCCGTATTTTTACAGTGTGGTAATTGCATAGTGGGTGGAGGGAGGCAGGGTTTTTCTTTCACTCTATGACACTTGTGAATTCCTGTTGCGTAGGTGTGTGGTGTGGACGGGTGACAACCGAGTATTCTTCTACAACCCCACGGGACGTGCTTCTCTGTGGGAGCGGCCTGACACACTCATCGGACGCACAGATGTTGATCAGATGCTACTGCATCCGCCCACAAAGGAAGAGAAAGGTGAGAAACTAAAAGACTAGCAGCCTAACTCGATGCCGAACATAATTGTTTATCTACAGCTGGTTACATGGTGGTCACTCACCCTTGAATAAAGGAAATTAAGGGTATTTTAGTTTTATTTAAAAACCACTTAACAACTAACTATCTGGGAAATTGGGTAGGATGTTGCATTGCATTAGGGATTGCATTCTGCGAAGTCAGAGGAAAAGTTTGAAAAGGGGGGAGGGTTCGTAAAGAAGTCAGGAAAAGTGAATCCAAACGAAGCTGCTACCTTGTGTTAGAACTTATTTATAATCCAACTAAGCTACCTACTTTTAAAGATGAAATCTCTCTAGTTCCAGTGAAGAAGAAGGCTGGGGAGATGCCAGAGGCGGAGCCACTCTCAAAGAAGAAGAAAAAGTAAGTTCTGATCTGAAAGAGTCCATATGAAATACTCCATATCTCACGCTTACAAAAACTGCGGGTGCACTGACTGAGGTACTTGGGATTAGGGGGGAGAGTTAGGGTTAGAAGATCATTCCGACACTACCCAGGGATACATCAGATTCTATTCAGGTAACTAGTGTGCATTACTTGTGCACTCCCTGCATTACCGAAGACATGAAGTAGAGGACTCGCCACGACCCTTTCCTTTTGCGTGAAAATCGAAGCATGGAAATTCAGAACGGAGGCACAGCTGCGTGTGCGTCCCATGATTGCCTGCGGGTTATAGTCATATAAGACATAGTCATAAACATAAAACAAATAATAACGTAAACATAACCATAAACATAAACATAACGTAACATAACATAAACGTAAACATAAAAAAACATAAAAAACATAAGACCCGGTAGTCATATAAGACAAGACAAAGACAAGACTCTTTACTTAGGCAGGACAAGGTCGAGGAGGAGGAGGCAGAGGAAGCCACGACGACAACGAAGAAGCCCCCCGTGCAGCAGCAGAAGAAGCGAGGCAACCTGATCGACGCGGGTAAGGAGGCGGCGATCGAGGCGGAGGTGCGGGCGGCGCGGGAGCGGGCCATCATTCCACTGGAGACACGCATGAAGCAGTTCCGCGACATGCTGCAGGAGAAGGAGGTGAGTGCAGCATGGAACAGTGTGATGTATCATGGGTTCAGCATGTAATAGTGATGTATCATGGGCATGTAATAGTGTGACGCATCATGGGTTTAGCATGTAGTAGTGTGGCGTATCATGGGCATGTAATAGTGTGACGCATCATGGGTTCAGCATGTAATAGTGTGACGTATCATGGGTTCAGCATGTAATAGTGTGTCGTATCATGGGTTCAGCATGTAATAGTGTGTCGTATCATGGGCATGTAATAGTGTGACGCATCATGGGTTCAGCATGTAATAGTGTGACGTATCATGGGCATGTAATAGTGTGACGCATCATGGGTTCAGCATGTAATAGTGGGACGCATCATGGGTTCAGCATGTAATAGTGTGACATATTATGGGTTCCGCATGTAATAGTGTGATGTATCATGGGTTCAGCATGTAACAGTGTAACATATCATTGGTGCAGCATGTAATAGTATTATGTATCATGAGTAGCATGTAACAGTGACATATTATGGGTAGCATGTTACAGTGTGACATATCATGGGTTCAGCATGTAATAGTATGATGTATCATGGGTAGCATGTAACAGTGTGACATATCATGGGTTCAGCATGTAATAGTATGATGTATCATGGGTAGCATGTAACAGTGTGACATATCATGGGTCTAGCATGTAACAGTGTGTCATATGATGGGTGCAGTGTGTAATAGTGTGACATATCATGGGTTCAGCATGTAACAGTGTGATGTATCATAGATCTAGCATGTGACAGTGTGTCATAGGATGGGTTCAACATGTAACACGGCAGCATAGTTGTTTGACGTGTAACAGGGTGGCGTAGCATGCATTTAACATGTCATTGTACAGCATAGCATGGGTTTGATGTGTTACAAGTAGAGCAGATACGCCATGTACATTGAACAAAGTTTGGTAATTGATAGATTTTTTACATTTGATTAGGATTTTTTAATCTCACTGTTTAATCTAATTTTGTTCAATCACTTCCTATAAGTCTGATGTGCCTAAGGTAATTTGGTGCAAATAAATGGATAATATTACCTGCTTCAAAAAGGAAGTCGAATGAATTCAAATGGAAATTCTAATGCCTATAGATAACAGAACCTTGTCCATTTTCATGTTGTTCACGGTCACCCTTGACTCTTACACGATGATCTGTTTGCTTGAAGTATGCAATACCTAATATTTTTCCTACAGGTATCAGCATTTTCCACGTGGGAGAAGGAGCTGCACAAAATTGTGTTTGATTCAAGGTATCTTCTGCTGACATCTAAGGAGCGAAAGCAGGTACGCTTCATCTTCAGATGCGTGATGCTTTGTGTTTTAATAGAAATACAAGCTATGTGTCGAGTAACGGTTTTATCAATAAGGGCAAAACAAGAAGACTTGCAATTATGTATCAAACGGTTTTAACGTAGGATGGACTACAGGTGCAATTGTCTTCTAATTTAGGTTCGTTATTTTGTTCACTTATTTTTGTTAAGTTGGTGATACCAAGCGTATTATTCTGAACCCCAATTATTTTACGTTGTCTTATTGTATTTATTATATATAGGTCTTTGAGAAATACGTTAAGGAGAGAGCAGAGGAAGAAAGAAGAGAGAAGAGGAACAAGCTAAAGGAGGCTAAGGACCAGTTCAGAGTACTGATGGAGGAGGCAACACTCCATGGGAAGTACGTGGTCACGTTTGTAGTACTTTATATACGCTGTATATTTCGTGGTGGTTTAATTCGCGAACGTGTCCCTGACCGCGAAAATAACAACACGCGAAAATAACAACACACTGTTTTTCACTGATTCAGGAATTCACCGACCGCGAAATTAACCACTCGCGAAATTGTCCGTCAAGTCTGAATTTGCGAAAATGTCTGTCCGCGAAAAAGATGGCCTATACAGTAATTGATCTGCCTTACAGTTTTATGCTGGCAATTTCCACAGGTTCTTCTATCTTTCTTAAATTTAAGTGTTAGTGTAGTAAATTAGTGTTCAAGTTTGTACGAAAGACACATGTATGCAGACCTGCCAACCCTTACGATTTTTTCGTATTCCTTACGAATTCCATGATGTTTCTACGAATGTACGATCAAACTGAAAAACTTACTGATTTTTTACGACTTGTGAAAATTAATGTTTTTTACATTGTGAGCCGAGAAATATCTGGCGATTGTGGGCACAGCCATATTGGATCACGCGTTCACGTTGTTCTCGCGTGATCTAGAGTTAGTCCCATCATTCATTGCGCGCATAACATACAAACAAAATGGCCACCTGCTGCAAGAAAAGAAAAGCCTTACTATTTTCATGAATCACAGGTTGGCAGGTCTGATGTATGCACTATGCAGTGTTCAAGGTTGAACACCTTTGCGAGACCCGGGATGGTCTTAGGGAAATAATGTTGCACGTGTGAGGGCTGCAACAATGTAAGGAAGCCATCTGAAACATGTGAAGGTTTAAAATTTCATAATAATCCTGTAGGATGAATAGAACTGCTTCAAAGAGGTTTTCTACTAAATTTGAACCTCGCGAGCGTTCTGAAACTTCAATAGCATTGGCAGCATACATTTTGAAAATAAAATCTGAAACGAAACGAATGTGCACAGCTGAGCATCTAGCCACAACAATCGTATATGTTAGTCACATTAACGAATATGTACTTCTTATACACGTATCTGTAACCACGGTACATGTGTCCATTTGTTTCCCTGTTCGTCCTTATCATCTGCAGTAAATGACGAGCACCTAGTGAAACACGCAATCGAAAAAAACACGCACATGCTAACTCGTCGCTCGATCTTCTTTTCTCAGGTCGAGCTTCAGTGACTTTGCGGGCAAGTACGGCAAGGATGACCGGTTCAAGAACATTGAGAAGATGAGGGAGCGCGAGGCGCTGTTTAGCGATTACGTTCAGGAGCTGCGGAAGCGCGAGAAGGAGACGAAGAGCAGCCAGAAGGAGAAGGTATGTCTGTCGCGCGCAGGAGAGTGCCGCGAGCCGCGTGGAGGCGTCGTGACGATACCGCGTGCGATTTACGAGAATTCGCCGCACGAAAGTATTGCGTGAGAGTACGTCGGTGTAATGGCACACGCGAATAGAAAACATTTATTACTCGATGCAATTATGCGGCAATACCTTGAAATTAGTGCGAGTAATTGGTAGTAAACGAGGTGGCTAGCTAAAATTTGTGTAATTTGAGTTTGAAAAGACATTTCTCGTAATAATTGCACCGTTTTCAGTTTTTCAACATTGTTGATTATAATTGGGTGCACATATCGCGTAGTCGTTACAACTTTATTCATTTATGTTAATATGAGCAGTTTTACATTTTTCGTAATTGCAATTCCCAGTCTCGTCCCGTTTGTTTCACAAACAGGGGATTTTGCAAACATTGAAACAGGCTTTGAAATTTGAGACTTCACAGCTAACTAATCTTGTAGCGTCCATTCACTGGAGTACAGTCATTAATAACGCTTAACGAAATTTACATCGGCGTTTTAAGCTGTTAAGCCGCGGGTGTTTGAAGTGTGAAACGTGATACTGAGAAGTGATAGAAATATACTTGGTAATTTGTGTGTGGCGATGCGCGTGTGAGGAAAGGGTTCTTATTTAGGCTCGCATTGACAAAATTCTAGTTTGCCGACGTAAAGTGATCGTGTGTAAGAGCCTGCTTCGGTGAAACGGCTGCCGCTCGATTTAGCGTGTTGCTGTGATGAGTGTACGTATCCGTTTCTAACACGCGAGCACTGATGATTGTGTTACCTTTCAGGGGACGGCCGTAATGGCCGTAAACGCATATATATACACTGTAGTCCGAAATGCGAAGATTAGAAAATTCGAACGCGCACTCGCGTCGTTATTAAAGTCATAAAAGAAACCGCAATAATGAGTTTTATGAGCGGGTTTCCGAGCGGCGAGTAATCAGTTTTATGAGCATTATTCTTCGTTATTTTATGAAGACTTTTCAGCCTGTAATGCGCCTATGATTACCTTTCAGCTGCAAATATTGAGTTATTGTTTGGTGTTCTTCTGAATTGCTTGGTCTATTTAATATCATTATTTTTTACAGGGTATTCTTTATCTTAAGTAAAAGTTCTGTTTTAACCATAAGTAAATAATTCTGTGTGCGTGCAGTAATATGCAGTAAGGACTGCACAAGTGCGCATATAGGGGTTATGTACAGACTGCAACTACTACTCAATTATTAAAATGTCTAAATGAATGTTAAATTTGAATTATGGCCTTACTCTGTTAATTGTTACTAAAGTGTTTTTTTCCAGCTTGTTCATCGGGCAGGCAATGTGGAGTAGGAAATCTCGTGCAAGAACTATGTGAACATGTTCTTTTTCATTGCAGATGAAAACATCATCTGATATGTAATTGTGATTCAGTAATGTAATCTGCATAGCAATGAGTTTTTTGGCATGATGTAAGCGTTGCCAAAATATTGTAAGTAGGTGGCATATATATGCAATGTGTATTTATCATGATTCACATGGCCTTATTCTGGTAGCAGAGATGTTACAGAAAGTTGTTTTGGATCATGTGTTTTTTTTTCATGCACCAGGGTATAGATTTCCTACTACACATTGCCTGCTGCACAGCTTCATTTGTCGTTCCTGTCGTATATAGGCTGCGTAAACTTTTCATAGCAGTCTGGTGATACAAAGTTATTGATCATGTATGAAGATTTTATGTGCGTAGTATAAATTTTGTATGCGCTTTTTACCACTATTCTTGTTGGTACGTTCAGTTTAATGTACAGACGTGCACAATACGATTTAAGGCACTATGTTTAGGTAATTACTGGAACCCTGTGGCTGGAAGATGCATTACATAATTGTTTCTTTAAATGTTTGTATTTACATTAATATAGTACAATTTTTGTCAAACAAACAGTGTTCATATAAACGGGTTCAGCAAGTCATTGTGGTAACTTTAACGTAAAATATAGATAATAAATGACTTTTCCTAACAAAACAAAACAATTGTTAGCATTGAAAAAGTTGAAAACTATTTTAAAATTCATCGTGGTCATTGATAAACAACGAACAATATTTACAATTGTCATGGTGGTCAGTACAAATTATTTCGGTGGACTCATTGTGGTCTATGAAAGTGGAAAGTATTTTGATTGGATAGTCAATCACCTTTCAGTTTTCTTGGTCCATACAGCGAATAGAGGTGGCAGGCAGCATCAGCAGCCCTTGTGAAATGTCTAGGCGTGTCGTCGAGACCCACGCGCCTGAAACCTAGCAAACTGCATTGTCAGCATCAGATTCCGTCTCGTGTGGGAACAATGTCGACTGGTATTACTTATTAGCGTTTTGTTTGTTTGCGTGTACTACTTCGACTTGCTACGCGCGATGACGAGACGATGCGGATGGCTAGCGCGCCTTGGTGATCAGTCGGCCAGCGTGCGTCGACCAGAGAGTGCGTCCTCTCCCTTCGCGTTGTCGTGTACTAGGCAAATGCATCTGTGTATCTGGCAGCGGTGCGCCGAATCGAAGCGCTGATAGCAGAGGCAGTGGCAGTGAGTTTATGTGGATGGTGAGTGGTGAGAAAGATCTCAAGGTGATGCAAGTTTCTGCATGCGTGACCCCCCCTAGTTCTAACCCTTTACTAATACACCTCGTACTTCTGTTTAGGAGTCTATTTAACTGTGCTGTGCCACCAGTTGGGACCAGCCACGGAAATGGGTGCGTAGCAGTCAGCTGTAGATGTGAAAATGCATAAAATTCTGGCCTTGTTAAATTCTAGTCAGCGATTGAGTTTCCCGGCATACAGGGTGATGTTCTCCCCTGCCCCAATTTCTCTCATTTCTGATTAAGAGGTCATTCCTTTGGTCGGCTCACAGGAATCGTTTGTGCTCCTGCGATACTGTTTACTTCCTCGGCTGTCAATTCTAGTCGTGATTCGAATTGAAACGACGGTGTTGTCTGCAGCTCGTGTGTGGTTGACTAGCAGTAATAACGAGGCGCAACAATCCTAAGGGTTTTACCCACGGAGTCGAGGTCGGACATTTCTATATATGTCCACGCGCGGTCAGCATGACTGCCGAAAACGTTGCGAGGAGAACAGGTGACGAGTGGTCACCAAGGCCCGCTAGCCAGTTGTCGCAGTAACGGTAGTGGCTCGATCGGTCCTGCATCAGCCACGTGCCGGTTCTCGTAGCGGATTGCTGTCCGGCTGATGGGGCGATTCCTGTCTGTTGGTTGCAGGAGCGAAACGCACTGAGAGAGAGCTAGAAGAGAATAGATAGATGATAGATAGAGTAGATAACCGAGGGGGATAGGAGTAGACGGGAGAGAGCGAGAGCGAACGCACGCGAGAGCGAGAGCGGAAGAGAGAGAGAGCACAGGAGACAGAGAGAGAGAGAGAGGAGACCACCGGCCAAGACGAGAGAGAGAGAGAGAGAGACAGAGAAGAGAGAGAGAGCGAGGCGGGCAGGGGACGAGAGCGAGAGAGGAGAGAACGAGAGAGAGAGACGAGAGAGCAGAGAGAGAGAGAGAGAGAGAGAGAAGGAGAGAGAGAGACGAGAAGAAGAAGACGACGAGAGAGAGAGAGAGAGAGAAGAGAGAGAGAGACGAGAGAAGAGACAGCCAGAGAGAGAGAGACGCAGACGAGAGAGAACACAGCAGAGAGAGACGAGAGAGAGAGAGAGAGAGAGAGACACGAGACGAACACCCCACCGCAGAGGCACAGAGAGAAGGGAGGAGCGAGGAGAGAGGAGAGAGAGAGAGAGAGGAAGAGAGAGCAAACGAGGCACAGAGAGGAGGAGAGAGAGAGAGAGAGGCAGAGAGGAGAGAGAGAGAGAGAGAGAGAGACGAGAGAGAGAGAGAGAGTAGAGAGAGAAGAGAGAGAGGGAGAGAGAGAGAAGAGAGATGAGAAGAGAGAGCAGACGATGAGAGCAGAGAGAGAGAGAGGGAGAGAGAGAGAGAGAGAACGAAAGAAGGAGAGTTAGAATAAGAATAAGAGCAAATTTGAAAGCAACAGAAAGAGAGTGAGAGAGCTAGAGTGCTAGCGGAAGAGAGAGAGAGAGAGAGAGAGAGAGAAGAGAGAGAGGGGGGGTAGAGGGAGAGAGCGACCAGGGAAGCGAGAGAAGGGGAGGACGTATGTGAACATAACTCGTGTTCTCGTCTCGAGAGTGGTGTAGTGTAAAGGGTTGACTCAAGATGTGGCTTGCGATCTGTGATCGCGGTGAGTGGCCGCGTTCTACCACAGACCTCTCCCCGACAGATCGCACGTGTGTGCGCTCGACAATGGCACACACACGGCAGAGTATCAGCGATTCAATTTCTCAGCTCGCTAGGCTGTAGGGACAAGTGATGGATTGACAGAAGCGGTGTCACGTTGTTTGCATGTTATCAGAAGACAAACATTAAGGAGTTGCTGCTAGTGCACACGCACACAATGTTCCTCCCCGGTGCGATTATTTGCAAAGCGAGGCTTGACTGTATGACTGTCCGGTAATTGATTTTAATCAGCGTTTGCGGATTGTGTGACATGTTTCCATTATAAGGTCTTTTGTCATGCCATCCTTGTCCCTGCAGCTGTCGATGTAGCTATGTAAATATATCTAAATGAATATGAATGTTATGTATATCATGTAGATTTGTGTAAATGCTATAACTATTAAAAGGTTTATTGATATAAATATATATATATATCGTGTGGTTATCGAGTAATTCTTGTAACTATCTCCACAGTGTTCGTATAAATTTGTTGTGGTTTTTGAAGGTTATAAATAAAGTTAGAGTTTACACGTGCTGTGTGAAAATGAAATGGCTATGCACATAATAGAAAGTCTACTTTGAGATTTATTATATATGTGTTTATATATATATATTAATACTGCAGTGCAGTCTGACCAGCTTCCTTTCAGGTGATTGCCTTGTCAGCTCTGCGACCAGCAATTGTGTTCGTTTGCCTGTATAATTCGTGCTTTACATTAGCAGGATTTGTGATCGTGATGGCACTTCAGCGACAATATGCTCTTATTAATACTCGTTATATTGTGTTCTCTGCTCCTCATGTCATTCATGCAAGCGTTTCTTATCGCCATTAAGGCTAGAGGGGCGATCGTGTGTTTGTTCGTTTAAATTCTCATTGTCAGCTTATCAGAACTAGCGATTAAATTTCTCTCACCTGCTGTATTATAGTTAACTACTCCCATTCAACGTATAGTTCACTGAATCTGTTGTCTGCTAAGCTAAGGTAAATGGTTATTTGATTCTTGTAAACGGCTATAGGTAGGAGAGAGCGAGTGTGTGTCCACGTCGGTCGTGGTTGGAGCCCATGCTGCCTATTAATGTGTGTCATAAGATTCTCTTGAATGAATGGTGCGGGGATTCGCCGGGCTCTGCCGTGCTCACCCCCTTCCGTATGTGTTTGCAGCTGAAACAGGAGTACCTGCAGCTGCTCAAGGAGCAATCGGGTCTCGACAGGCACTCACGCTGGAGCGAGATGAAAAAGACGATCGACCACGATCCCAGGTACAAGGCCATCGAGAGCAGTTCGCAGAGAGAGGACTGGTTCAGAGACTACTGCAAGACCCTACTCGACGTGAGCTCCACTTACATCATTTCACTAGCGCTAGTTATGATAGTAGATAGGGAGAATCAATTAACCAATTTGACTCGATTTAACCAAGACACCGAGGGACAGCATAAGAAGAAGAGGAAGAAGAAGAAGAAGAATAGGGAGAAGGTAGTAGTAGCTACTCACTGTAGTAGCAGATGGTTCTTGGTGGCTCTTACCTAGGTGGGTCTTTGTGAGCATAATTTGCTGTCTCTGCTGATACGAGACTTGGTGATGAATCTTGTGGTAGTAGGTAATTAGGCAGGTAGGTAGTAGTTTGTCTGTCTTCGTGAGAGCCTTCGTTGGCAATTTACTCCCCGTGTCGACGCGAAAATTGGCAATCACCGCTCGCCGAGCGAGACGGAATTCAAAATCCCGTCGCGAGAGTTCCCCGCGTTGGGAGTTTTCCGCGTTGGCAGTTTTCCGTGTTGGCAGTTTCGCGCGTTGGCAGTTTTCCGCGTTGGCAGTTTTCCGCGTTGGCAGTTTTCCATGTTGGGAGTTTTCCGCGTTGGCAGTTTTCCGTGTTGGCAGTTT